GCCTCACCACCCAGCACTCCGGCCCCTCCTGCCTGCCCCGGCCTCCCTGCCTCCATGTCGGAAGGGGAGGGAGGGGGGAGGGGCAGACGCCGTGGCTTGGCTTGGCACCACGCTCGGTGGGTTCTTCCCCACAGCCCCTTGAGCTCCCAACCCACCGCCAGGGCCTATAAGGGCGGGTCTCCCGTGTCCCCTCAACCCAGGGTCCGGTCCTCAAAAGCAGGGCCCGAGGGGACTCCCCTAGACTGGGGAGGTCACTGGAGCCTCAGGGCCCCACGGCAGGGCTGAGGGTGCACGCACAGGTCCTCCTGTCCTCAGAGGGCACCCTGATCCCTGGGCTTCCGGGAAGTGCCGCCCAGGACCCGGGCAAGTACCCATGGCCACGGCACAGGCTTCTCACAGCACCCCCTGGCGGAGCCTACCCACGGCGGGGAAACTGAGGCTCTCAACTGGGCCCCCCTGCGAGCAGACGCAGAGCAGATGCTCTGGCAGCACCCCTGCACTCGGGGAGGGGAAGACGGGGCGGGCAGGGCAGCACACGTGGGGGACGCCGGAAGAGGGACGGCCAGGGCTGATGGGCGAGTGGGTCTGGACTGCTGGACCCACCTCCACCTCCTCGGGAATCCACTCACCCAGGGTGGGGCCCCATCACCCCTCAGCACTCCTCAGCCAGGGAGCAGCCTCCAGCTCACAGGGACGCAGAATCTTCCAGAAAAGGGGACAGGATGGGCTCCGGCGGGGCTGTGAGGAACCGCTCGGGTCCACGATGCGGTTGCTTCTGAGAGCGTTCCTGGTCGCGTGCGCGGGGGGGGGGGCACTGGACAGAAAGGGGCCTCTCCTGGGGGCACTCTGGGTGGCATCCAAGGAACATGGCCAAGGCGGCCCCGACCACCCCAGAGACCCTTCTGGGAAGTCAGCTCACACTGAATTCAACCCCCAGAGTGAAGACCCACCAAGCAAGCCTCGGAGACAGTCGCACAGGACAGCCCCATCTTCCACGGAGACCCAACCAGAGCATCGCCCCCCAGCACACGGAGACCGTCCGCTCACACGACCCGGGCTGGATCAGGGCCACCTCTGCCCCCCCCCCCCACCGAAGTCCACTTGCCGTCAGCCCCCAGATCGGGGACGCCTGGGCTGGCCTCCCTCCCGGCCTCCACCTTCCAGCCTCCCTCCCCGCCCTCGGTCCTGACTAGGAGCACATTGGGCAGGGCGCGTGGACGGGGACCCAGTCGTCCGCCCAGTGGGCCTGGGGGTCCCCGCCAAGTGGCTCCTCATGCCCGTCGGGGCATCTCGGACGCCATGGCAACACGCGTACGCCCCTGGAACACGGGGAGACCGAGAGCCCTCAGTTCCTGTCCCCGCGGCTGCCCGCGCTCAGGAGGCCGCCCTGACCCCTCGCACGCGGGCGCCGCCGCCCACACCCACATTTTTCAGGAATTTCCCAATTAATGTCTGGAATGTGTTCTGGACGCTTCTTCCAAAGATGACAGAGCAGCCCGAGACGCAGGCAGCACCGGTGGCCTCTCCACCTGCGTCCGGCGGCCCGACCACCCCGGCAGCTCCTGGCAGGGGGCGCCCGGGTGCCCCCTCTGTTCCTGCGTGCCTGTTCCTCGCTGGGGCGGGCAGGGGTGACGCTTGGTTTTCTCCCACCACTGATTTATCTGTTCACAACTGTCCGGTCCGGTCCCTGGGCTCTTGCGGCCCACGTCTCGTGGGACAGCGGCGTATGGGCTGGTGGCCGCAAGGAGCCTGGCCGGCAGCGATTCCTGCCCACGTGGGGGTCAGAGCACGCCTGGCCAGGGCAGGGAGGATTCCGTGAGGCCAAGACCACAGCGAAGGTCACGGCGCACTGTCATCTGTCTCGGTGCCCACACGGCCTTGCCGCGTCCTGTCAATATTTACTCTGGGGAGGAACTAATTATTTCCGTGTTTACTCGTGGAGTCTCGCTTCCCACCCCCGACGACGGCCAGGCCGAGCCCTCCGTCACGGTGCTCCGGTCCCGGGCAGCTCACTCCGTGGGAGACGGGGAGCAGGAAGCCCCTGGCCCCTCCGGCGCCGCCCCCTGCCCTGTCCAGCTCCACCGTCCAAGTCCCAACTCAGTCCCACATCTCAGAGCCGGGAAGGGCTCCTGCACGTCCAATGTGCCGCCTCTGCTCCAGGTCCTGGGGGTCCGCGGCTCAGCACCTCCGACCCCTGCAACGCTTTCTCCGAGAGCCGCCACGTGCGCCAACTGTCCTTCTCCGTCCTAACACGGGAGTCTTGCTTGCTGTCCCACGAGAAGTGGGAGACCATGGAGCACACCAGCGTAGAAGGAAGCGGCCGGGTGTCCCTGAGGCCACTGCGATGTGGGTAACGCCTCACTCGGAGGTCGAGTTCTAGAAAGATGGAGCCCCCCCCCCCATCCCCAGGGGAGCAGGAGGAAGCCGGTGCCCGGGACGAGGCTTGGCACCAAGCTGCGGGCCCAGGAGCCAAACGCTGACACACGCACGACTGGTGCACTCAAGCCACCACCAGTCTGTGGCTTCACGACAGGCACTGCCCACATCCGGGAGGTAGCACCTGTCCAGCTCATGTGGACGGTCGAAGTCCCAGCTGAGTCCTGGTCTCGCCCCCCCTCACCCCCCCGCAAAAGGCGGCCTTCCTGTCCCATCACAACACTGCCCCTTGGCAAACCCCTTGCCAGGGGTCTTGACCCCGTCTCCTGCGGGGCTCTCCCACTGTGACCTCTTACAAAGGGGCAAATAAGCAGATCAGAGAAGGGGCTGGGGGTCCCTGCACCCGGCTCCCCGCATGGTTTTGGAGGCACTGAGGTCCCCAACAAGTGTCAGGAGTAGCTGAATCCGGAGGCGCTTAGAACTCCGCCCTCCCCAGCCCCCCTCCCCCTGCAGAAAGATGCTGGGCAGAAATCCAAGCACGCGTCACACGGCAAGGGAGGAACCGGGGAACCAGGCTCGAGCGGGGGGGGCTTTCAGGAAACTGCTGCTCTTCGGGGTCTGCGGTGGGCAGTGTCCACGGCATGGGGATTCAGTGCCGTGACCAGCGCTGAGCCTGGGCGGGGACCGTGGAAACCCACCGGTGAGCGGCAAGGCCCCGTCCGGTGGGAGCTGGAAACTCCGCAGCCCCCCACCCCGCCTATGCCCAGCCGCCGGGCCGAGTGCGCTGTCGGTAAGCTGGCACTCAGAGCACGCAGCTCGTATTTAAATTATGTCATCGAAAGCAGGTCAATGAGTCATGGTAATATTTCAATACCAGGCAATATGTTCCTCGGTGTAGCCAATTAAGTAAATTTGGGGAAGAATTTTCATAACAGATGCAACCAGTAGGGGTCATTTTAGTGCAAAAATTGCAGCAAAGGAAACTCCAGCCCCAACAAAAATCTATCAGTTCCCACTCCGAGTCGCTGTGAGAATGCACCCAGTGAGCAATTTTCTGAATAAAAAAAGAAAAAATGAAAACGGGGGTGGGGGACGACGACATACACTGACCATTGAGAAATGTCTCGCGAAAGTCACAAGAACCACAACCAAAGCACAGGAGCAACGGGGCCCCTCTGAGCCTCCTCGCATTCTTACACAGGCTACTCACGCCTATTTTTCCACAAACCCCGCAGCAGAGAGAAAATATGTGCATTGTTCCACACACGTCTCAGCATATCCCTTCTCTCCCGAGGGAGCCCGGCCCTCCCGAGGCGACTGAACTGCTGCGTTTTGGAATTCTCCTGGGCAGGCTGAGAGCACCACGCCGCGCACCCCCAATTCTGGGGGAGCCGGAGACACGCTGCTCAAGGAACGCTCGCCAGAGAAAGCAGGGAGACGGAAGCGGGGCAGCAAATGCCCCCCACCCAGCGCACGAAACGTCCCGGAGGAGGGGGGGGGTGGGAGCAACAGGACCCCAACCCTCTGCCCCCACCCCCCAGCCGACTGGGCCAGAAGGCCGGCTGCAGAGGCGGAACCTACTCCCCCCCAACCCCATCAGCATCACATGGGCGAGACCCGGCAGGCAGGCAGGCAGGCAGGAGTTTCCTTGCACGGAAACGCAGCAGGAAGAGCCCAGAGAAGTGTTACAATGTCTCCACCTCCCCGGCCCACACTTTCCGCGGCGCGCAACCTTGTTTCGCTTCTGTCGGTTGCCGAGACTCGGCGGATTCCGGAGGGGCCGAGGAAGCGCCCCGGGCCTCTACCCGGGGCTGGGTTCGAAGACCCCCCACCCCCCCACCCCGCGCTCACTCGGAATCCCCAAGGCAGACACGAAACCCGCTGGGAAGGGACGTCCCGGGCCGCGAGCCGGTGACCGGGTGGGAGTCACCGACCGGGCCGGGGCCGCGGGCTCGTGCGCCGCGCACACACCCAGGCGTCACGCCCCTGCCCGGCGGTCCCCGGAGATGCGCCCCCGGCCCCGGGCCTCGCTCACACTCCCCGGAGCCACCGGAACGCTAGGAGGTATACTCCCCACGCCCCAGAACTCAAGGAGTGAGATCAGAAATCCCCCCCAGAAATCATTTCGGGGGGAAAGCGCTGCAGGTTCTCTCGGGAGCCCATTTTATCCTGCCGGAGGCTTTGGGCACCCTCGGTCCACGCATCCGCGGCAGCAGCCGCCCACCTACGGCACCGGCACCGGCACCCGCCGGGGGGCCGTGCCCGTCGGCCACAAAGGCCGGCGGCCTCTCGGAGCCCCGAAACGTGCAGGCCGAGGCCCCCCACCCGCTCGGACTCTGCCGCCCGCGGTCAGCGCCCCCCTCGCCGTCCAGGCCCGCGGCGGGGCGGCGCGCGGGGACCCGACGGGCAAGGGCTGCCACTCGGCGCCTCGCAGCAACTTTTCCCTCCCGGTGCCGGCGCCCACCCCGCCCCGCCCCGCCCCCTCCGCTGGGCGATCAATGAGTAACCGGGTCCGTCGCTTCTCCCCTCCGGCCCGCGGCGGCAGAGAGCGACGCCCGCCCGGGCGCGGGCCGGGACCCCCCGCCGCGGCCCCGGGAGGGTGAGATGGGGTGGGGGGGGCGTACCTTCGCAGACGCCCACTTCGTACTCGGTGATGGAGTCGCCGTGCAGCGGGGGCCGGATGACACAGCGCAGCCCGCGGTCGCAGGCGCCGTGCAGCCCGTAGGCGCCGCCGCAGCTCTCGTTGCGCTGCCGGGCGCACATGTAGCAGCAGCCGCAGACGCCCTGCACGATGCTCCCGGGGCAGCTGCGCGGCTCCTCGCACTTGGACTCGTCGCAGGGCAGGCAGACGAGCGCGCGGGTGCCCGAGCGCGCCAGCAGCAGCAGCAGCGCCAGCAGCGAGGCCAGGGGGTGCCCGCAGCCGGCCAGCCCCCCGCGCCCCGCCACCAAGTCCATCCTCCTGCGCCGCCGCCGCCGGGCCGGGGGCCGGGCGGGCGCCCTCCCCCGCGCGGGGCACCCGCCGCCCGCGGTCGCCGCCGCCGCCCCGCTCGGGGCCCCCGCGCCGCGCCGCGCCCGCCGACCCCGCGCCCGCGCCCGCGCCCGCGAGCGCCGCCGCCGCCTCCCGGGAAGGGCGGGCGGGGGGCGCGCGCAAAAAGGCCGGGGGCAGGGGGAAAACGCGGAAAAAGTTTCTCCCGGCGGCTCCGGGTCGCCCCGAACTTCTGGCGGCGGCGGCGGCGGCCGGGCCGGCGCGGCTTCCGGAGCCTCCGAGCGGGCGCCTGGCGCAGCCCCGGCTCCGCGACGTCCGCCCTGCGCGCCCCGCGCGCCCCGCTCCGGCGCGGCTCCTCGGGCGCTTGTTTATGGCAGGAGCCCGCCCGGCCGCGCGCCGCCGCGCCCGCCCCGCCCGTCCGCCCGGCCACGCCCCCTCCCCGCGCCGCGCGCCGCTCATTGGTCGGCGCCCCCGGCCCCGCCCCCGGACCAGGCCCCGCCCCCGGAGGCCCCGCCCCACCTCGGCTCCGGGCCCCGCCCAGGCCCCGCCCACGCCCGCCGGGCGGCGCGTCCTCCCCGCGCGCCTCCCCCCTGCGCGCTTCCTCCCCGCCCCCTCCTCCTCCCCCTCCCCCCCCTCCCCCTCCCCGGGCAGGAGCTGCTGCGACTCCTCAGCGGCGTCCCGGGCCCAGGGCGTCCTCCCCCTGCGCAGGGACACCCCCTCCCCTCCCCAGCCCGCGGGCCCCCCTCCGCCCACCCACCCACCCACCCACCCGGAAAGGGCCGGGAGCTCCGCGACTGGCCGGGAATCCGTCTCCACGCCCCGCCGGGAAACGGACTTTGGCAAAGCCCGTCTCGAGGGGAGCCCGGGGCGCCGCCGCCGGCCGGTCCACCAAGGGCCTGGAACGCGGGCGGGCCCGGGGCGCGCGCCCGGGGAGGGTCTCCGGGGGTGGGGCTGGGGGGCCGGGAAGGGGCGCAGCTGCGCGCGGAGACGGGCTTGACCCGACCTAGCCCTGCCCCCTGCCCCCTGCCCCCTCCTGGGCCCGCCCCCCCCCCCCGGTCCCCCCACGAAGGACACTCTCGTGCCCTCCCGGGGAGCAGCGCGTGCCCGGAGCGCCCCGGTCCCGCGCGGTCCCAAGACCAGGCACGGGCGCCCCGTGGGGACCCCCAGAAGGATGTGACCCAGGACGACCCCCGCCCTCCCCTCACTCCCCCCCACCGGCGGGCGGGCGGGCGGCCCAGGCCTGTGCCCCGGCGTCCCCAAACGCCAGCACCCCCCCCACCCCCACCCCAAGGGACATGGGTCAGCGGAAAAATGACGCGGGCAGGTGTGGAGGTGGGCATGGCCCGAGCGGCTGCCAAGCGGACGGCGGGCCGGTGACTGATGGAGCCGAAGTTCATGCGGCAGCAGCGGCTGAGAAAGGAAACAAAGATGCCTTTGAAATCCTCTGTTTGCGGAACAAATTTATGCTTCTTATAAATATTTTGGTTCAGCCGCTCCGCCTGGAACCAAAAAGTCCGAGTCACCAGTGGAACATTCGCAGGCCCTGGCATCGGGAAGCCCAGCATTTCCCCAGGCCTGTGTTTCTGGGCCCAGGAGGGCAGCGGCTCGGTCCTTAGCGCTGGTTGGACCAAGAGCACCGGGGAGCAGAGAAAGATGTTCGGCGCGGCCAGAGGTCTCCTGCACATCCTTAGGGGGGCTGGAAGCGCCTCTGGGATGAGTGACTCCCAGGGATGGCCAAGGGTCCCGCGCGCAGGCCCTCCTGCCCCAAGGCTCCACCACCTAGAACTGTTTCAAAACGCACCAACTTTCCTCCTAGCCAGGTTCAATAGAAATACAAGGACAGCCCAGTAAACATTCTTTCTGGGAGCCCAACAAGGCAGCGGGGGCATTGGCCAAAAAGCTGTCATCATTTGTGCTGTGTTAAAAGGCCTTTTCTGCGCTTACAGAGAAGGTTATCTATATTTCTGTTCAAAGGCAAGTAGAAAGACATTATGAAAATGTAGCAGATAACATTGTAGGCCCCAACAGGAAGAGCCAAGGTCAGGTGGTTGGTGGGGGGGCTGGTGGGGGGGGTGAGAGAAAGCAGGACTAAGAAAACCACAGTCATTTGAAAAAAAAAAAGGCAGCCCTCCTTGTCCAGGTTCTCTGCTTTCTCGGTTTGTGTTTTTTAATTTCTTTTTTTCCCAGTCGATATAGTAAAGGTTGGGAACATTTCCAGAGTGGGCCCAGGAAAAGGAAACGGGAGGTCACCATCCATCTTCGCTGGCATCGCAGAGGTAGAATCATCTGCCAAGAGAACAGACTCACTCTCCCCGGAGGAATTCAAGTCAGGCTTTGAAAGGACCCGGGAGATGCTTAGGCGTGAAGATGGATGTGTCAGCTCAGAAAATCCAAGTTGCGCGTGGGCCCCGGCCACGGGACTCGTAGAGGAGCAGGGAAGTGTTGCTTGACGCCTGTAACTGGGGCCAGATCAGAGCCCGAGAGGGACCGGGTGGCAGCGTCTCTAGCCACGGCACTAACTCAGCTCAGCTGCAGGACGGAGGCTTCTGAGCCAGGTTTAATGCTGTCCCCTGGGAGCTAGCTTGAGCCTGTTCCCTTATGGATTCCAGCCTTCAGTCGGGGCCTCTGCTTGTCCCTTTTATCCTGTTTCATTGGAGGTCTTTTCACAGCTGAGTTCCGGCTCAGTGGAGGCACGGAGGCCAGGACTTATAGAGGACAGGATTTAGAAGAATGCATCCTTCGGTGAGTCGGAGGAGACAAGAATTGCAGAGATATTTTGGACGTTGTCACCTGGGACCTTTCTCCCTTGGGGGCAGTAGTGCCTTGGACATCAGGGGGCTTCTAAACTGGACCGAGAAGCACCCTCACACTCAGACCCTGGGGTCCCAGGAAGGGCATCAGTCAGACCTCTGATGGGGAAGAAGAGAGAGTGCGCCCCCTATGGGCCTTTGGGGGCTTGTCGGACGGAGTGGCCAGACTGTTGGGAGAGGGTGGAAATTCCAGGCGTCCACTGGCCTCCCAGAAAGTGGAGAGGAAGGCTGCTGGCATTGGGGCCCCTCCCTGGCCCGGGGTCTTCGCCTCTCGAGGGACCTGCTGTCCGCCCTGCTGAGGGAGAAGGCGGGGACCACCGGTTGCCTCTGGAGTCTGGCACGCTCCCCCTCACAGTGTCCTGCTCGGGAGAAGACATCTCGCTCTCGCCTGCAGTGCCGGAAGACTCTATCTCAGACCGGAGCGGGACCAGGACCATCCCTCTGCCTCTGTCCCCTCACCGAAGCTTGTTAGCAGCTTGTGGCGGGGGTCGGGGGCACTTTGCCTTCAGGGCTGCTGGAACCATGTTGGAGACAAAGGGCCGCGGGGTTGGGGGGAGGCTCTCGTTAGGGGGTTCAGTCATCGGAGCATCGGCCCTTTGGATCTGGATGGGGGCCTGGGGTGTATTCCACCTCCTAGTGCCTCTTTTTCATCAGTGGGTTCCTGTCTAATGTACCCACCTGTGGATGGCAGCTGTTCCAGTATTCCCAGCGGGTCCTGAGGGAAAGCACCTGCTGCAGGCCGTGCTGCTTGGGCCTCTCTGTCTGTCTGTCTGATCTCACCTCCCTCCCTCCCTCTCTCTCTCTCTCTCTCTCTCTCTCTCTCTCTCTCTCTCTCTCTCTCTCTCGTCTCACCTCTCTCTGTGCACACGTTCCGAAAGAGGCATCCGTCCTTTCTCAATCTGTTTCCTCCTTGTCAGTGGAAACCAGACTGGTGCCAGCACAGGGGGTCGTGGGGGTGAACCGACAGTGCTGTCTCCTCTTTGCTGGTTCGAGTCCTTCTGTCTCCTGGAGTTTTCTGCCTGAGCTGGCATCCCTGGCTACGTGCTGCTTGCCACCTACTGCAGCAGCTAACATCTGTCGCCCTGCTCGCGGTTTCTGTTGGCCCCGCCTCAGCAGCTGTGCCCCCCCCCCGTCGCCCCCACCCCCTGCCACACACACACACACACACACACACACACACACACACACACACACACACACACCTCGGGCTGGTGGGAACCACCAAATCTCAGAGCCAGGAGCACGAGGGAGGGCTGCGTTTGGACTTATTCCTCTCCTGCCTCAAGGCCTTGAGGACATTTATTTAGAATCCTCCCGCTGCATGTCAGGTAATGTTGAATTTGCTTTTTCTTTTCCATTGTAGTGTGTGTGTGTGTGTGTGTGTGTGTGTGTGTGTGTGTGTGTGTGTAGGAGGCGCGGGGGGGGGGGGAGTGAATTTAAAATTGTTGACCTCTGCTGACATCTATCTTGCCCACTTTGCTGGCTTGCACTTGAAGAGCTAAAATAGTCACCAGTGGATGTCCCCCCCCCCCCACAAAATGGAAGCAAGTTACCTTGGTTTCATAATGATTGGACTACAGCTCTTTAAGTAGCATTTATGTGGATATTTACAAGTTACCTGGGTGTGCTACCACACCTGATCCTTACGGTAACCTGATCGTGTAGGTTTATAATTACCTGCACTTTACTGGTAGGGGAACAGAGGCTAGGAGAGTTTGAATAAAGTGTCCAATGTCATACTGACTTGAAAGGAAAAATTATGTTTCAAACCCAGGCAGTATGGAATTTGCATTAGGCAAAAAATACTTCTAATATCTGTTATGCTTTTGGGGGGTATGTTGGAGAGTTTGACTATAATGAGAAAACTACACAAGTTCAAAGAGAAAGAAAAGCAACCTTTAGAGCCACTAATCGCATTTGTGGGTTCTCTCGAGCGTTTCCAGGTAAAGTATAAGCTCTTCAGAGAGGTATGTTCTCTAACTTCTGGTGCCTTTCTTTTTTTTTTTTTTCTTGCTTTTGGGGGTCACACCCAGCAGTGCTCAGGGCTTAGTCCTGGCTTTGCAGAATCACAGTCACGGTCCTCCCGTTGTTCATCAATTTGCTCGAGCGGGCCCAGTAACGTCTCCCTCGTGAGACTTGTTGCTACTGTGTTTGGCATATTGAATACGTCACGGGGAGCTTGCCAG